CCCCCACCCTCTGAGATTTTTACTGTTAACCTTATGCCCTTTTGTTGTTGTCGGGTTTCTGTTTCGCCTCGATTCTGTCCCATCCAACCTTTCACTGGTTGTAGTCCATGCGTTAAAAACGAACCAAGTTGTATTGATTTCATCCCAATGCTCTGTCTTCTAATTTTGTTATGTGCATGAGGTGTATGATGGAACGGCTTTGTTTCTTTGTTTTCTGAGCTGTTCGTTATGTTTTATAACTGTACTATTGTCTAGCGTTATTTCACCCGGCCGCCTCCTTTCTCAACCGGGCATCGTTCTTGGCCAGCTTCCAATCGCCTCGTGCTCTTGGTGTATAATTTGTTTGACATAAGTACATGTACATTCAATTTGACCATATTTTTCAGAGTAAACGCGGACGGTTTGTTCGGCTCTTGCTCTGTTCAAATTTTAAACTGCCAAGATTTTGCGTATGAAAAGACTTGCGAAGTAGAAAGCTGTACGTTTATAAGAAGACATTTTTGTCAATGTTTTGGAGGAAAGCGAAACGACGAACCGTTAATCGTGGTTATGACACTTTTCCTTTCCACAACTTAAAGTATATAATCGCTCTGTCTTTGTGGACATAATTTTTGTCAAGTTACTTGGTGTTTCTGCTGGAACGTTGTAAACGGTTGTAGTCGTCTCTTCCCGGGTTGTCCCTGACAAGGAACGAAGCCCGCCAACGAAATTATTTAAATTGTATCGACGGAGTGCAAAAGACGCTTATACGGGAAAAAAGAAAAAAAGAAAGAATAGCACAGAATACGTAAAGTATAAACCTTACGCCAACGTAGATATTTAAGTTGGAGTTGTGTTCTGGATCACGATTAAAGTATCTGGAATAATTCAAATCTTCCGTAATTCGAAAGTTCTCCACACCTGCAAAGGACAAGATAAGATGGATATGCCTAAGAGACAGGAATCTTTTCCTCGCATAACGTCACAACGTCGTTACCACCATTGTCGGTTCAGAGATAATATTTCATAGAGGCTCCCGAGCTTCAAGTAACAGTTGTTTTTCTACTACTAGAGAACGCCAAAAGTGCTTTTAGTTCGATTATAATCTCCAGTTACTATTTCATCTGACAGAATGGTCCGCCAAGTCAGTAGCTGGGCCATAACAATAAACATTTGATGATGTGGGCAGTAATCGCTTCTTAATCACGTGAAAAAAAACACGTTATAGACCCGTACCAGTTGGCAGTGGGGGCCATTTCTAATGTTTTTGTGATGGAGCTGCTCCTGCTTTTATATTATGCAAATATGCTTTTTATTAATGTTTACTTTTATCTCCAGCTGTGATGGGTGGTCAGTCAAACGGATATTTTGCTGTTGGACGCTGACCCGAATACACTGACTGCTGATACACTTTATTAGGGTGTTTACATTTGTTTAGATAAAAACTTTCAATCAAGGGACTAGAGCATGTGGGTTGCAGCTAGCTAGTTTCAGGGGGACTTAACAGCTCAACAGGTATGGTGGTCGCCCTGTCAACCTGGAGGTCCGGAGGTAAATCCTCGCTAGCATCGTGTTATCGATTCTGTCTTCTACACTTCCTGAACCCGACATGGGCAGGATCGAGCGCCTACCTAGTCTTCTCGGATAGGGACTAAAAATGTCACAGGTCCTGTTTGGAAGTTTGGCAGTTCTAATATCGAAAAGAGAAGGCTCCACAGGCTGCTTTGAAAATTAATTCTTACCCAAGACTGAAGCCACTCTAATCAGTATTAATAAATATCAACAGTGACTTCGAAAACGGAACATGAGTGTCTGTCAGGCAAGGGATGATTGTACGTTTTATGTACAGAGGACCCCACTTATAACAGTCTGGGTTAAAACAGGATTTCTGCAAAAGCAGGCTTATAATAAATCCCCTTAGTCTTATAATGCATGTGTGTAGTAAACAAGTTCTTTAATATCAGGCATTCGGACAGACATCCTTGGCTGTACCCGTGGTCAAACAATTGACTTATGCTAAAATGCTAAAACGAACGGACAAGAGAGCAAATGAAGCAAACCAACAGCCAACATTGGTATCGCATCGTACGTGACTCACAGTAGGCATAAGTTGACTGTGTGCACATTTTGTGATATGTCATACCGTGTGTGTTGGGGTGGAGGCACTTTGGCGTTGATGCAAATCCAGTCAGTGACATAGCGTGGCCTAGCACATGGTCACATTGTCTCCCCGTTGTTTCGGGAATGATAATAGTTGAATGAAAAGTAGGCTTTCGGAGCAAGATCTTCTGCAGATCTAAATACATGGTTATTATTATTATTACATGTATTCAATAACGAATATTGTGAAGCGCACAGAGCATGCTTTAGACTGTAGAGCATGAATGTGTGCTTAATAAATGCCAGCATTATTATTATTACCCGGGCGTCACAAATTGTGACTAGTCAACCTCCTTGAGACTAATATGCTGGAAAAAACAAAACAAAACAAAGATGAGAAGGGGGCTCTCGTGGCCTAGAGGTTAAGGTGCTGGTCTCTCCTTCAAAGGTCCCGGGTTCGAATCCGAGTAGCAACCGAAAAATTTTCTTCTCTAAAATTGTCTCCGTTCACCTCCTTTTCTGCTGTCTAGCGGTGTTCTGTCTTCTGCTTTCGTCTCCTCTTTCTCTCTTTCTGCCCCCACCCCCTCACCTTCTTTGCCCCCTCCTCTGGGCTCCTGACTCTTTCTGCAGCCTTTCTACTGCTCCTCCTTGGCTCCTTTTTACTGCTGTCTTTCAGCCACACCCCTGATCTTCTGGTAGGAAAGTTCTACACCTAGCCTTCTCGGACAAGGGCAAACATTTCTGAGTGCCCGTGTGCAAATTGCGCACGTTAAAGATCCGTTGGTGATTTACAATCGATAAGAGTAGGCTTCGGCCGCCACCCGGGCAAAAATCAAGATTTTCTACCAGCTGAAAATATTTGGTGTGTCCCGCGCGCTCATAATATGACTTTATGCAGTTGCGAGCGTCGTAAAACACTCTCCCCCCAAAAAAAACAACAACAAACAAACAAACAAAAATAATTTTTTTTTAAATAATAAAAAAATAAAAAAATAGATGAACAAAATATTTCTGGAAAAGGCAGGAGCAATGATTGGCCAATTGGTTGTTAATTAACTATATTCATTCTGCTATGTACTTGACTTGAAAACAAACTACTGTGTGGGATTGTCTTATCGTCAGTTACTCCTAGAAATCTAAGTAATAGGGGCACGAAAAGGTGATGACCCAGACAACCAACGAGTTAGCTAAACTACAAAAAAGGGCCTAAGTCCAATGGAAAATAATAGATCTAGTGGTATGAAACAAAATGATTTGAAAAGAACAGCTTAACGTCAGCAGGCTCCGACAAGCACCAGATGGCGTGCAATTAAAACTGATTTTCTGGTAGGCCTATGCACCGCGCGATGATGTATTATTATCGAGAAAAAGTCATATGAGAGAATCGATTATGATTGTGTGTGTGTGTGTGTGTGTGTGTGTGTGTGTGTGTGTGTGTGTGTGTGTGTGTGTGTGTGTGTGTGTGTGTGTGTTGTATTTAAAGATGACATGAGGTCCAGAGGAAGCCCCTTAAAGTCCCCCGTCCCCCGTGCCGGGGGGAAAAAAACCCTCAACAAAACAAAGCCCAACAAAATCTCGAAAATCCTACTCTTTCGTTGTTCAGTTCACTTTTTAAAAGTTCTTTTTTTTCGAATTCAGTGGTTCTTGTATGACGTTGAAAGCTGTGTCAGCTTGTGTGTTGATTGTCCTACCAAAGGTGGGTGGGGTGTTGCTGTTCAGTGGCATGACAGCACGGGATTTCAGGCATCATGTTAGTCATTGTGGGCTCCGGTGGCTGGAGGGTGCCACCTATTATGTGTTCTTTGTCTGTTTCCCTGTTACGTGCGTTCCAGCTTCATGAGAGCATGGTTGGTAATAGGCTATCAGGTTTGTTGTGGTCTTACTACTGGCTTTCTGTGTTAACTATTCGCGGGGGACAGGAAGGCGCTACAAGGCGCTACTGTTCTACTCTGTCCTTGTATCCATCTCTAGTTTTCCTTTCCCTTTGCCCCCAGTGACTGTTATTGTGTGT